TGGTAACAAAATCTTCACTGCAACCGTAGTGTCAGAGAAAACGTTGGATTTTTTGCCCAGGATGATCTTGGCAATGCCGCTTTTCTGCTTTATCGTTGCCTTGTACACCACTCCAAATGCTCCTTGACCAATATGCAGAGAGTCTAGTTTTATATCCTTTTCTGGACAGCAATAGATTGAACCATCATGAATGCTTGCCTCTAGCCATTCTTTATAAGATGATTGAGACATTTTAATAGCAGGTAGAGATAGTGTTTGATGCTACGGTGTAAACGGTGACGTATTCTCTCCGTAACTCCGACTGTGTCACTATCGTGGGTACACAAGCTGTAGCAGCGATACAGCATCGCTGTAATAGTAACAACGTACACTGAGGGACGATTAGTAATAGCAGCTAAAAATAGATCAATTAGTCCGTTCGTCTGCGCATGTTTAGAATGTTCTAGTTACTTTCGATTTCTTTATTGTAAATAAAGTACTCTGAAATAAATTGTTAATGATGCATTCCCTGGTAACTTATTGGTATCTACAGAATTGGTATCCCTATGTCGATGAAGAATAATCTAAATCGCAATTATTCGAATGGCAAATTACGATAATTAATTGTTATGTAGATGCGCATTATTATAATTGAAATACTATTGTACCCAACGGCAGACTAGGAAATAATCCCACCTTAGGAGCCGACAGAGTTACTCGAATGTGATTAATATATCCAGGATTATTGTCACTCTACGACGCGAAGGTTTTCAGCCTTGATTGAACGAAGGTCACTAACTATAACTCGAGAAGAGGAGACGCCACGCTCTGCTGAGACTAACTAAATACCAAGTGCCGATTATTATCTGCTCTCCCGTAGTAGTCGGCTCGACAGTAACTAATGGATAATAATAATCTTTTGTATTGGGCTACGTCCTCGTGACTCTATTACTTATATTTGTGTTTTGTTTTTGCGTTGTTTGTTAACTTTTTCATAATGACTTGAAAACATGCTCTTGAAATTCTAGACTAATTTGCTAATAGTTTAGACTTTAAATTTTTGGGCCATTGTTGAAAAAAATGTGAGAAATGCATACCCAAGCTAGATTAATTAGAACATTTTATGACGGGAAATGGAATTCTATTTCCAAACTCTCTCTAATTAGTTTGGTAGAATCAATAAAGAGGAAAGACCGTGTGAGCTATAGTGCTAGAAATAAAGACGATCAAATTCTCCGATAATAATGCATAAATACAAACAAGCTTTCAAATGCATGCGACATTTGAAATGGCTGTGCAGAAATGAGCAAGTTAATTTGTCAAATTTTTTTTTGTAATTCGGTTGTTAACTGACATATCCGGAAAAAAGTCAGAACCAGCTTTATTGATGGAATTTATTGCCTCTCCTCTTAGGGAGAGTTCAGCTACGACAAAAGAAATTGTTACTACGGGGGTGTCAGCAATAGAGAGCGCGCGAGGAATCAAAGTACCAATTTTCGCATGTCATTCCCAGTTATCACGTACATCACATTATCATCTTTGTGTGACTCTTTTGTTATCGACACTTAGCACATTTTGTTGATGAATATTACACAGCCGCACACAAATTTTAATCTCAGTGGAAAACTCAGCAGCATATGTTGCTAAAAATATAACATTTATTGTTATATTCTGAAAGACATAAGCAGCGTAGATTTGATGTGTTCGATTCCTTTATTTCATATACTATTTATTATCAATAAACAAGTAGCCTTTTGTACTCTGAAATACACATTTGATACTTTATTCCCTGCTAATATTCGATATAACAGATAAACTGCTGATCCCTATATCGGAAAGGAATATTCGCGATCATTCCAGTGGCAAATACGATAATTAATCGACTACTACGAAACGTGTTTGTTATAATTACGATTATACACCAACCTGTAGACTACTGAACTAATCTCATCGGTAAAAATAGCGAATTACTCAAGGACGATTAGTTCTCGAGGATTAGTGTCTACCAATCGACACTGAGGCCGTGAGTAGAAAAGCTTCGTTTAAAGATCACTAATGTCATTTTGTTTGACTAAACTACAGCTCCGCTCGAACCTAGCTAAATCTCTAGAGTCAGCGATCGATTGCGGTTGCTGACTCGACATGATTATAGTTCTATTAAAGTTTTTACTAGCTACATATTTTTTTAAGCTAAGATGCAGAGTGATCATAAAAGGAAGAGAAGGAGAAAAAAAATTCTGACGCTGAACGTGAGGATTTTCACACCAAACTGAGGAGCAGGCTGCATAATTGGAAGATATAGAAACTTGTTTAAAGCAAATAGTGTTTGGATTGTTCACTCAGGAGGCAGTGGTAGTTGGAGCTGAAAAAAGAAACCGTTTGTCTTCCAACAATTTAATAACTTTCTCTTGATAATATTTTTATTTTTGTAGATTATATTATATGTAACTGAAAATAGATTAGACATTTCAAGACGAATCAATCTTATAGATAACTGTGCACTGTTTTAAATCTCCGTTAGACTTGTGTCATACAGCAAATAGTAACAATTGCAAAGCAACTGTCATTCATTGAGGAATATTATTGTTTCTTGAAAGATAATCGGAATCTATGCAAACAGTAAGTTGTCTGCTTAAAATATTTTCGCCGTGTAACATTCCGAATTAATGTAATGTGGTAGGATAAGTAAGCTCTAACCTTGGTAAGTCTTGTTAAAAATTAGTAATAATACTTTACTTCCACTAAACATTGAACTTGACTTTTTATTGTACGTTTTATCGCGTTTTCCATGCTAAGTTTATCCGATTCAAACAGAAATTTTGTCATAAATGACAAGATGGCAATCGAGCCTTTTAAAATCCTAATACGACACAAGATGATTTCTATATACCGGTATTTTTTGTTATCGTTATACATATATAACACGACGAAGTTTGGTATAATTGAAGTTATCGCTTTTGTAAACCTTAACATCTGTATGCGTATGTTGTGCCATTTGAAAAATTAAGATCAGGTGAGACATACCTTTTTCCTTGCCATTTTACGTGACAGTGTTACGAAAGTTTTGGTTCATGAATATCCGCTTTTATATAGTATAAACCATGATAAGCGATAGATTTGTTAAAAGATTGAATTCTAGTCACTTACTATTACTGAGATTACAAAACGAGAATGTTAATAAAACCTATGGTGCAAAATTATAGCACTCTAAAACACCTCGAGTTGAACCCGGGGTTGGGTCATACTTTTACGGAATAGTTCGTGTAACGTACTGTACCTTTCTATTGTTGTTATCAGCTTCACTGCCACACATATTTGATGGCTTATACATTTACAACATTTTTAATTATCCGATCGATGCTCGCATTTCATTATCAGAATGAATCAAGGGGCTACATTGGGGATAACAACTCTCACCACATGTGAAAATAAGAGGTTATTTTGGAATATGCATCATGACAATCGTGAAACTTTCCATTGAAAGCAGGTAAGCTACGAAAAGCCGTCAATATTTTACTAATAGGGATGCCCGCATAACTGAGTAACGAGGCATGCAGGTTTTACAGGCGGACTTGCAACGAAAAGAGCATGAATATAGGGAGTGGACTTTTGTTTATAAAGAAACAATAGAGCATTTACTCTAATTCGCTGTAGTTTGTTACTTGATACTTGCGTCTTAGTAAGTAAAAAAAGTTTTCTTTTTAATGTCTGTCTGTTTGCTACTTGTTTTAACATCCAATGTAATTCATATCCTCAATCCTAACCCTCTTTTTCTGCATATAACCCTGCCTTCGCCTCTCTTTTAATTAGTTCTCGCAAACTTGACAGTTTCACGTTATTGATTTTAATGACATCCGAAATGAAGCACAAGCCAACGTTTTTCGAAGAGGTCCCCCACGATAATCGCGTCCATCTTGAAGATGTGGATGCCACTCCCATTCATCACAATTCCAACATCACGACCAATACCACCCTCCTCCCTTCTTTTACTTACTTGGTGTATCTTCATAGATCAGTGAGGAATCTGCTCTTCAGTCTGATATTCGACTGGAATATGGTCTTTATGCATCCATTGAATTTCCTCATCCTCGTGACGGTATTTCCGGCGTTTATGATTGGATTGGTGGTTATTGGATTGTCTTTGCATCTTGGGTATTCGTTGGGTATGGGCAAGGCAATTAAGAAGATTGGTGACAAGTGGGGAGGTGGCTTATCTCCAGTCAATTGGTGTAAGTACAACTGTCAAGTGACTCGACATTTGAACAGTCGTGTTGAGTTTTCACTTCACTAAACTTGTTGCAAAAACAACAAACTTTGATTTTTATAGGGGATCCACGGATATTCTCGGATGAAGTATCGTCTATAGTTAACAATGCTATCCAAGCTATGGACGAACCTCAACACATACCTTCGGATTCAGTGCCCGGGGCCAAGTTACCGTCCGTTCAACCCAAAACCTTCAATATCGACATCGCAGAGTTTCTCCTTTTCGTGTCTGCCCTAATCTACGAAAGAGACGATAACATCGTACACGAAGCCCACGAACAAATGTCCGCATTCAAGCTTGATCCGGCCCTCCGTACACCAGAGTCTTACCAGCAAATAAATCTAAAACTGCGCGACTCTGAAAAATTTATTCATGATCAAGCACATAAATGGGGATTGCAATTCATTTCCCTATCAGAACTGAACAGTCTCGGCGGGCCATTTGCTGGGATGTTTTGGAGTTTGCAACATAACTTTATCATTGTAGCATTCAAAGGTACCACGCCAACCAATGTAGAGGATTTCCTTGTCGATGCGTTGTTCCAGCGGTGTGATGCTCGCCCCTTCTTGTTCGGCGACGTGCACGAAGGATTCTATACCTCTTTGTTCCCTGAATCGCATGCTTCGGCTAGGTCGGGTTCGGCTAGTCCCTATTTTACTATCATGAAAGGAATAAAAGCCAAGGCATTGGAGATTAAGCAGGCAATGGAAAAGATGAACCCCCCGAAAAAGGATCCGGTAAATATTTGGATTACTGGGCATTCGTTGGGTGCTGGATTGGCAACATTGTTCTACTCTAGACTGCTGTTGTCTCCTAAAGATTTGGGTCCAAATGCTATATTAAGGTATGAGCTATATACTTATTATCATATCACTATTTCATCGAGTTTCGTAACTCTGACTCTGCAATTTTACATTAAACAGAGATGCGTATCTAATTGGTACACCTGCAGTTGGCGATTCCGACTTTGCCGCACAATTCGCCGCACACAGCAGCCGCCCATACGATCGTCATAATACTCTTTGGCGAATAATCGATGACATTGACATTATCACCAAACTTCCCCCTGGTTTCAATAATCCGTATATAAGCCAGCATATAAGCAAGAACAACATTCTTAACTATGCTCATGTCGGTGAAGGTATTCGATTTTTCCAGGACGGGCGCTTGCCTCAAGCTACTAGGAATGTATTCACCTCTGGCAACGAAGCGGTGATTGTTGAAAAGGCGAAATCGAATGGATTTGCGCTGAAAGGTTTGTTTACGTTTAACAGTCTGTGGAATGGAATTAAGGAACCGCTTAACGGCATCAGCGGCGATGATGCGGACGATGACGATCATGTCAAGCGGAGATTGAGAAATCTAAGGGATATTGCAGATGGAAAGCCGTTCGTGCACAAGCCAGAGAGTCCATTATGTTTGGTTGAGAAAGTGTTGCCGACTTTCTTCAGGAACCATCTCCCTGCGAGGTACTTCCAAGCCATGCAGAGAGCAAGAGTGTATTTTGATGAGGATGCGAAAGGCTCTCAAGGCTTGAAAAAGGACGTGTTGACGAATTAATTGTGTTAATATACGAATGTTAGTAATAATTCGATGTTAATATTTAAATTATTACATCATTACGCAATGTTCGTTATATATCAATATGCTGCTTTATTACATATTTAACGACGCTGTTTCGGAAGCATTTTACACAACGTACTTTTCTTGATAAATGTGATCGGTCTTCTCTATATGCCCTTTCTTTCTCTGTCTCTTACCAGACAATAAGTGAGTACTCGAATGTGACCGAGTGACCAATTTATCCAACACAATTCTGTAAACACTTTGAAGTACTCGGGATCTCAATTCCCGATATCCAATACAACATTCCGAAGCCGCTACATAAAAGTAGATCTCAGTTACTAGCATCCTCTAATGACATTCCCTGCCAGTTCTTCTTCTGTTCATTCACTAATAAGCCTAAGGAATAGATGCGGTAAATTGAAAGATTCACAAGGTGGATTTTCTACGTAGTGAGCAAGAGATGCATCGTAGTGTTGGTGAGATCGTAGTAAACGTCATAACGTTCTAATTCTTATTATACGGTTCTTCGTGGCTATTGAAAATGCATGTGATTATACAAAGCCCTCGCTTTAACATACAAACGTTATAAGAAAGCTGTTATGTCATACATAGTACCCAAAACTTTACTAGATTCCACCGAGGTTGTAGAATTGTGCGATTCACGCCGCTGTATCCTGCGCATTTTCTCTTTTTAAATCTTGAAACATTTCATCTTGTTGGCGTTTATTCTTGGACATTTTTGGGAAATCGGAGAATGGAGAACCAGTGGGGAAGAAAAGAGTAAGCTTCATCATTCACTCATAATGTCTATTTTTGGGAGGGATACGCGTACTCATATGATTGCTTGCGTAATTTGGATAAGAGGTCTCTCACAAGGGAGTATACTGAGATGCAAGATATGATGTGGAAGCTTTCGTGTACAGGACGTATTGTGGAAGATGTTGTATATGAGTTTGCATCAAACTATACAGCCGAATATTTTTGCACTTACATGAGTTGGATTCTCAGCTCAGTGATACGATCTTGCAAAATAGGTTGGGTTGGCTCAAAAGCACGTGGTCAGTTCATAGCTTGTATAGAATTTTGATTGACATAGAAAGTAAATAGCGGTTCATGACTATTAAGTTTTGCTGGTAGAGGCATCCGAATGTTACCGATTTTGTAAGTAAACAAGAGTTAAGTCACTAAGTACGTCATGCTTTAAACGAACAGAAAGGGTTTACATAGCTGGGTTTGACTTGCGACATATACTTGTGAAACAATTTGAAAAGCTTACTATATAAAGAAAAGTGTCAGATAACGTCATATAAAATTTTAATTTAGTGAAGTCGGACAATAAAGGTGCTCTGAATATATGGGTATTAGACTGTATAAATTCAGTTAGCACCATGCAGAGAATAAGCATACATTATCACAGCCAATAAAATAGCATGTCTTAAGAGGCGTGGGGGCCAACATATCTCATTATAATAATGCTAAAATAAATGAAGTCTGTTGACTTCTGTGCTAGGCACAATCAAAACTGGGCTTCAATTATTGTTCGACCGAAATGAGACTTGCGACAAGAAACATTGGATAATAACATATATATTTATACTCAGCTATATAGGGCAATAATTCAAACAAAAAATAGGAAACAACAGCGTTCTAATGTTTTGATAAAAAATAACAAAGAATAATACGACGGACGTTATGGTCGCAAACGTTTAAGTCTAATTTATTACTGGTTTTATAACTAACGGAATTATGTGACATGGCATACTGTACATTAAAATTAACAATTGTTCGAGAATTTATTAATAATTCTTTATTTCTTATTGTATTTACATAGGTTTGATACATGATAATAATAATAACATCATTCTACACTACTCCAGTGATAAATTCGTAAATCGATCACATTAATCAGCAAAATCTTAGTGAGGTGTTTTCGTTTTCGTTTTTTTGATAAATTTACAATGTCCAATAGTAATATAAATGTTTCGGACTTAGATTTCGGTAGAGCTGCGAAATGACCATCATCCTGAACTACTCTATCTCAGTACTGCAGAAATCACTTGATCAATCGCTGTTCCCCTCTTTAATAGCGGTTAAGCCGTTCTCAAACTGTGCCAGCAGTTTACTCTTCGGCTCTTCCGCTCCCAGCTCTAGACTACACTCTAAGTCCTCTACTCTATTAAATCTTGTAACTAGTTGAACTTATATTAGTTTTGGCTATTCACATATTAAAATAATAAATTAATAAACGTACAATACAATTTTCAATAAAATGCCAGCTAGATTCATAAATCATGCTATAATTCCGATCTGACATAATTCGGAATTGACATACAATGTCACGTCTTCATCTTCATCTATAGTAATAGATTTAAGGCTATCTTCGAAGTTGTGTGAAAATGCCTTTGATATGAGAAGGAAGACTTTCGTAAGAAGACATAGTTTCGAGGGAAAAAAAAATGTGCGCGAAATGCGCAAAATGTTCTTTTATGTCGTTGCTTGAGGACTTGTTCGTGAGTTGTAGCAACTGTCGTCCTGCGGAATATGGAATGGCAGCATCGGTTATGTGGTTGATAAACCGTGTCGTTACAGGACTTGTTCGTGACGTTGCGTATTTGAGTGGCGTTGTATTTACGCTTTGAAAGCTATATGTATGAGTAGACGCGTTAGACATTATTCCAATGATATGATTAGTATGTAAGTATAATCTTATTAACGTACCTTAAGAGTATGTATTTACTGAACGAATGGATACTTGTTAGCCGCTATTAACGACTTGGTCGTTTCATAACGTTGCCCGAATCACGCCACGTGGAGGCCAAGTATCAAGTGATTCACATCTTTATACCATCCACCCCCTATGCCCTCCCATCACGTTAAGAAACGATCATTGGGTAATCTAGATAGGGTGGCTCGTCCTCAAGGCCGTAACAACGACAACAGGGTGGTTAGTCTGTCTCGGTACGCCGCGCTCAAGCTCATGCTACGGAACTTAATCCCTTGGGTGGCCTCAGAACTGTTCACCACGGAATACAGTCGTCATCACAAACTGAGACGATATAGATATTTATATCTATTTATTTTCATTTTTCCGAATCTCAGTATGCTCGAACTCATGACCTACGGAACTTAATCCCTTGGGTGGCTAATAAGTCCCTCGCCACGCAATACAGCGAGAGCTAACGACGCGTGAACCCTTTCATGAAAATATCTTAGCCTGGGGATAGCATAGAGATGGACAAAAGCATAAGGCTAAAGACTCATGACCTACGGAACTTAATCCCTTGGGTGGATCAGAACTGTTCACCACGGAATACAGTTGTCATCACAAACTTGAGACCATATCGAGGTATGTCTCAGTATGCATATGTCCAAACTCTTGACCTACGGAACTTAATCCCTTGGGTGGCTAAAGTCCCTACCACGGAATGCAATCAGAAGCACAAATGTAATGCACATACTGCTCTTAGCCGCCTATAGATTTGTCACTACATCCTCTATAGCGTTGTCACCCACTCACCACTTTGAGGTGGCAGCATATCGAGTGGGAATACTATGCTGCTCTTAGCCGTCCATAGACGTTGTCACCCACTCACCATGTTGAGGTGGCAGCACATTGAGTGGGGTAACCCATAAGAGGGACATAACTCATCTAGATAGACTACTGCGGTGGGTCACTCCAGTGCTAAAACAGCTGGCCAATGCTACAGATACTTGACAACTCTGTAACAGGCCAATTAAGTACTTGACACTGCCTTATGCACTTAGCAACCAAATAAACT